TTCTCTTCCCTTTCCTATTTTCTTCATCATCATCATCATCATCTAAGCACTAACCAACATCACTACGATTCTTTCTTTTTTTTTTCTATTCTCCATCATATTACAAATAGACGTCGTCAATTAATGAATTGAAGAAGATATATAGTCTTCGAGTTCCTATATATGATGGCCGGACGAGGGCAAGACGAAAGAGAGAGAGAGAGAGAGAGAGGGAAAAATTTGAATTGAAAAAAAAAAACGAGAAAAGAAAAAAAACGAACTTGTTCGGCGTTTACGTTTTTAATCACAATTTACATTAGCGAACCATATGTGTATCTAGTAGTATAGAATCTATTGAACATTAAATCAATGTATGTATTAGATCATTTATGATCAATACAAAAAAAAGATTTTGACCATTATTGAAACTTACTAGTTGTATTGTATCATTGTTAGTCAAGTCTATTTTGCTAACTAATCATCGAAATTGATTTGTCAAGTATGCAATCTCGTCTTTTGTTTATGTCTATTTTCAATTTTCACCCTTCTTTTTGTTCGGAGAGACGAGAACTAACACCAGAAAGTGGTCGTTTTTTCTTTTTTTTTTTAATTGACAACATAATGTCGTTCGCCGTTTGTCATAGAGAAAAAAAGCAGAATCGATTGTCATTATTAAATAGAGCACAAACTACTAATGGATTGATGGATAAAAGCATTGAGCAAGAATGAGAAAAAGGAAAAAGAAAAAACTTCGACATATTAAGTGTCAAGAGCATTGACTTTTTTAGAAGTCTAAAAGTGTTTATCGATTTCATAGCTCGAAAACCTTTTAGTTGATTAAATTTAGATCGATAATGCCACATTTAGCTTGTTTACCTGCAGCAGTAGTAAAAATTCGCTGACGCATTGTACTTCGACTTGCTTTTACCATCGATGAATATTCCAATCGTTTTCGCAACGTTTACTAGTGTGCACTTTTTTTTTAAAGAAACGAATTTGGCCGTGTATGTAAGATGCACGTAATAAAATAAAAAAGGACGCGGTTATGAGGTGTGTTCTATTCTCCTTATACATACATACGATAGAACACGAAAAAAAAGGCAGCAAATTGTTAAACGACGGTGAAGAGAACGACGAAAAAACCTGTCTATTTACGATCAACTCTAATTGAATGAGCTAATAAGAAGTACAAGGTACTTATTTCTCGTTTTCTTTTCTTGATCTTTTTTTTTCATATTCACAGACCTGCCGAGGACAAAGTATGTCTTATGTATACATAGTACCCTATATATTGTAGCAACACTTGATTATTTTTTCACATCTATGCGAAATAGTAACGAAGACGAAGAGGATGAAGATGAAAAAGAATAACAATCAGGATAAAGGTACTGTCGTATGGAGAGAAAAAAGGACGATAAGGAAGCAGTGACGTTCTTCCTGTGTGTAGTCTACGTCGGTGAGAAATGTGTTTGGCGAACACACGGTAATCGAGAGAACGAGAGAAAAACAATCAGAGTGAAAAAATTCATTAAAAATATGTGTGTATGTGTGTGTATGTAAGTTTAATCAAATCCATCCATATGTATTGGGCCGCTCGATCAAGATAAGCAATAATAGTATTAGTAGTGTGAGTAGAACGAGAAAATTGAATTAGACTATCATGCTAATTACTTTTTCTACCAACATCTCAACATAGAAATAGAAGAATATATAACGTTCTATTATAAGAATGGCAGATGTTATTTTTCTGATTGACAATGTGTGTACGAACGATCAAAGACAAATTATAGTATTAAGCAAAAAAAAAAACGTCTCTAATCATAAAAGAGAAAAAAAAGAATAAATTATAGTTGAAACTTTTGTTTTTTTTTATTTAATCAAGGTTAGTTTTATTTTTTTTCAATCAACTAATCTCTTTTTCATTTCAATGGTCTTTTTTTTTTATTGACTTGATTATTTTTATATGACGCAAGCAAATAAAAAAAAACAACAAAAAATACGTCTTGAATCGATTGTATACGTTTATATACAATCAAAAAGAAAAAAAAAATCCGAGAACAGAAAACTACATGCAGAGTCATCAATAAATATTCTCTACAGGAAACATGAATAAGATTGGTCTAATGAAGACGATAATCCGGGCGTCAAAGTGTTTAGCAGACACACATCGATCGAAAGCGAACGAGCGTGTATCCAAATGATGGTAATTTTAGGGTGTATATGTGAGTGTTGTTGTTTCTTTCACACACGCACATCTGACATGCGTTAGATTCCATATGTAATTGTCATCACTAAATCTATGTGTGTCCACTCGACATAGACAAATCTATGAACTTACCAGTATTAGTCATATTAACCATAGGTTTCGTTGATGTTGGTAATGTTATCGGTCTTGATAAAAGATCATCATCAAGTAAATCAGACAACATTTTTTTTTTGTTTCTATCTAAAATGTATGATGACAATAATAATAATAATAAAATAAAATAAAAAAGTGCATTCTCACTCTAATTCAATTAGATCGGATACTAGAACGATCAACGAACACATCTGGAGGCATTCCTCATTTTCTCACTCTCTATTCTATTTTTTTTCTCCTCTCTTTATTAGTCAAGAGGTATGAAGTATGCAAAGCTAAGCGAACGAGTCTCTGCTAAATGAGTTGAGTGAGAAACGAGATAAAAGCGGAAAGTTGAGGAGATGATGGATGCAGGACGCCGTCGTCATCGTCTCACAGCTCGTCGATTATTGATACTGCTGCCTGACAACAGTAAGAGAGAAAACACGTCGATAACAATAAAATGACGAATGATAGCACGTTAGCTTATTGTATATACATTTGGATTTGAGATTAAAATCGATCGATTGATGATGATGAGGACGATGATGATTCAATAGGCAAGCAACATCCAAATAGTAGAGAGAGAGAGAGAGAACATATAATAACACGGAGAATAATAACACAACCCGAAGAAGAAGACGAAGACAAGAGAGAGAGAGAGAGAAAGAGATTGTATGTGCAGTAAAAGGAAGACATGATGGCATTTATGCCCTGTGAGAATGATGTACACATAAAACACTTGCTTCTATGTCTTCATATTTTTAATGTTAAAAAAAGTTTTAGTAATTGAAAGATTTTATTTAAACCAAAAAAAAAAAAGAGAAAAATTACTTTTTTTTTTAGTATGCCAATGCATTATGCACATTAAATAAAGAGACGTAACTAAACATTACCTGTCAAAGGATTATTCGCATTGGACGAATATGCACACAAATATTTGAGTATAAATAGACGACAGGTGTTATATGACGATAATATTACGAATGTGAGTTTCAACACTCATCGTTGTCGATAATCGAATAATTTCAAATATATATATATATTTATATGTGTCACTCCCCATCATTTCATAGAAGAAATTGTTTTTTTAATATTAACACAACAATAACGGGCGACGTCCATTATGGTAATGCATTCTTTTTTTTCTGTCTCTCTGGAGCGCGCATGTCAACTGTGAAATATGAAACGTCGCCCAACGTAAACTCTCCGGATGGTCTATATTGTGTGTTTGTCGGTCTTCAATAATTGTCGGTCAGGGAATTATAGTTGAATATGAAATAGTCTTTGCTTGTCTGTCTTCTGACTGTTCTATATGTCTTTGGCTATACATTCTCTCAAGAGACACACGTACGCAAATCTGTTAATTGATGCGCGATTACATTTAGAAAGGACAAAGAAAGATCTTATTGAATGAAACCCTTTTCGTTTTCTCTATCTTCTTCTTTTTACTGGTTATATGCACGCGTGCGCATCTATTTATTTGTGTGCGCAAGCACAATCTAAGGTCTCTTTGTTCGATTATAATTAGTAGTGTTCGTCGAACATAATCCTGGGGTCCAACCCTAAAAAATATGTCTTTTTTTTTTCTTTCTCATTTTTCTCTTTTGGATGGTTTTAGCATAATCAAATAACCATCATCGACATCACAAGCTAGAACAGCAATGACGATAGTAACATACTCAATAATGCTTGTCTTGTCAGAAATCGATTGATGTCGTCGTCAAGATTAGATCGTAGTCGGCCTGTTGTTGACGACTAACTATGCTACAGAAAATTACCATTTAGATAAAAGAGAGAAAAAAGAAACGAACGAGTATTTGGTTCGTTGAACGATGAACAATCGGAACATGATGCATCAACGACTAGTAATTATTGAGTGTTGTTCTGAACTACTATAAACTTCCGTTCAAATGACAATAAGACGAGCAATTTTTTTTTTGATTTCATTGGAATAAGATTTCATTCATTCATTCATTCATTCATTCATTCATTTTGTTTTTTTCGTGCTTGTATGAATCAAATTACTAATCACAAATCTTTCTCGCTTCTTTAGTTCATCTTATTGTTCGAACGAACAAGCAATCCTACTCTCAATGATCATGTACTCTCGACAAACATGACAACGTGTTATATTATGTGCGCAAAAGAGCAAACACAATTTAACTATATAGTTAGTCTGACACATGAAATTTGATGAGATAATCGTTCATTTATTTTTCTGTTTTTTTTTCTTCTTCTTAATCATGAATAAAATTAGATTTTTATTTAAATAATATCTCGAACAATAATTAATAATGAAATTCTATCGAAATTAAAATATAAATAATAACAAAAAAAAAAAAGAAATCATTGAAGCTTATGATCATGTTTGAAAAAAAAATCAATTTAATAGAATTATTAGAATATAAACAAATAATCAATTTTGTTTAAGGAATTATTCGATTAAAAAAATATAAAAACAACTAGTAAAAATTATAAATGAAAAAAAAAACAATTGAATAATACGATATGAATCCATTGAGGAAATAAAAGAGAAAATATTCTTTTTTGCTTAAATTATGGATACAAATTATATTTTAATATTTTTTTTTCACAACAGATAGTGTCACTTTGTGCAAATAATAAAAAGAAGTTTGCTATTTTAAACCTATTAATAAGAGAAAATGTCATGATTTTCTCTTTAATTTTGACTAGATGTATTTGTGATTTGATTTTCGTTATTCATAAATTCTTCATATGTTATACGTATGGCTTCATCCAATAATAAAAGAGCTACCATAGTAAAAAATACATCTATAGGACGTACATGTGATCGATTAGTTCTTGTTTGAGATGATATTGTTAAATTTTGAAATGGTATTTCAACAACAAGTAATTGTTGTTGAGGATAGAATTGTGCATGAGCTTTTCGTACGTCAGCATTTTGTGGAATAATAAATGTACGTTTAAATTCTTTAGCAACAAAATCAGGTTCTGTATCATCATTGCCATTTACAAATGAATTTGTTGTTAATGGTTGAGATGGTTGAGTCGATGCTCGCACAACATGTTTACCACGAACAATGAGTCGACCATGTCGAATTGAAACATTTAATTCATTTGGTTGAAAACCATCAACATTCATACGTAAACGAAATGTACCCGGTTCATCATTATGAATTGGTGCTGGTGGTAATGGTGGAGGTATTTGTCTATCAACATTAACAAAATGTGACAAAGCTGTCATTGGAATAGACATAGTTCTTGATGAAATTGTTGTTGATGTAGGTAAATAATCGTCTTCAATATAATCGTCATCATCATCATTATCATAATCATCACCTTCAATATGAGTTTGATTGGCAATAAGCAACATAGGAAATACTGTTGATGGCAGTAGTGGTGGTGGTGCATACAAAAAAGGCATCATCTTAAATTTGCCTTAATCACATACGTATAATGCAATCGATAAAATATCTAACGACGTTAGTTACCACTATATATTTCAATGGGAATAAATCATTTACCTACGATCGAAAAAAGAAAGAACAAAAAAAGGACGATACAAATACATTTATGTACTACTGAAAAAAAAGAATGTCATAGAGAAAAAAAAATCATATACAATATTACATATAATAATATTGCATCGTTTAGGTTTGTAACACAACATAAGCAAAGAAGCAAAAAAAAAAATAGATATCATCAATGTATAAGAAAGAAAAAAAAAATACTATATCATCACCTTGTTCTCGTTATACGCTTTTATATGTATCTCTATATGCACGTTGATCATGTGGCTAAAAATTACTATCGGGAAACAGAATAAATGAGACATCTCATTAGTTAATGAGTTGTATTACTGATGACAATAGCCTAGTTTTTAGTAGATATCAAGGTTAACAAGGAGAAAATACGATAAACAGCAGTTAGACAAGGACAAATTAATATATTGAAAAAAAAAAAAATGTCTTTTGAAGCAAAATAAAAAAGAAACATAATTGATCATTTGTATATAAATTAAGAATTAAAATTCTTTTAACACACTTTCTTTGTTATATACTTCTTCATCTTGATAAAGTGATAGTAAATTACATTCGATGATAATAATGCAAAAGAAACAGAAACAAAAACAAAAACAACAACAACACCAAAGAAGATTCATACGATTCTAAGAATGTCATTACCAAAATAGCAAATGCTATTTTAAGACAATTTAATGACCTTTGTATCGACAAAAACACAAAAGAAATTCAATTTTTCATGGAAAAACTCATTTGCTAACTTCAATGAAATCTAATTATCTGAAAAGATTAAGATCTACAAATTTCTAAGATCGTTGAAGGACGACTTTCGAAATCATAGAATTCATTATGAAAACGATCAAAAATACAGAAACAATCATGTGTTGTTTTTTTTTGTTAACAATTAATTATTAACTATTCAATATAAAAATTTAGAATTGCTGATTTTTTTATAATGAAGCAAAAAGTTTGAAATTGTATAAAGATGAATTTTGAAAGATTAAAATGTTTAGTTTTTTATGTTTATATAAAAAAAAAACAATTAAAGATAATATAAAATGAGTTCAAATGAGTTTTATTTTACACACATTGTATTAAAATTGTGTATGTAAAACATTGACTCTATTACTTCTTAAAATTATCGGTGTAGGTCGAATCGTTGTTTCATTTGATTGCTCTATATGATCTCCAAATACAAATAAATTTTCGTCACCTAAATCATTTTCTTCATCTTCTTCCGTATGAAATGATCGATTTCGTGTTTCTGGTAAAGTATTAATTGAAATAATTTGAATTATTATTAAAGCTGAATAAATATAGAATGTTATTTTAATATATTTATCACCAAGTGCAACATCAATAATAGGTGCAAGAATAGCACCTATACGTCCACTAAATACAAATACACCATTAGAAACACCACGCATAGATATTGGAAATATTTCTGGAACATAAATCCATGTTATTAATATTGAAGCACTTATAATTAATTTTCCTAATTGTGATATTATTATTGTTATTATTGGATAAGATTTCATAGTAAATGGAATAATTAATAGACAAATACATGTTAATATTGAACATAACATAAATGAATATTTACGTCCTAATTTAGTTGTTATTAAAATACTTGCAAATATATAACCAATACCTTCAACAATAGCACCAATAATTATATTCCAATATGGACTTACAACATCACTCATAGCACCAAGACCATAAGAAATTTTAATATATAAAAGCATTGTAACAGAACCAATAATTGCACATAGAGATAATCGTGGTATATAATGACGAATAAGTTCTTTATGTGTTCGTGATGCATGTTTTCTACTTAATATAGCTAAACGTGGATTATAAATTAATTGTTTATAATATGGATGCCATTCATCATCTGAGTGTCCATTTGTTTGAGCTATTTTTCTTAAACATACTTCCAATTGATTATATTTCTTTTTACTAAATAACCAATAAGGTGATTCAGGTACAAAATAAAGATATGGTAAAATAAGTGCAAAATAACCAGTTATTATCCATTTAAGACGTAACCAATCACGTGCCATGTAAGCAAATAATGTAATGACACCTTCACCAATAGTATAACCAATTACAGCAGAATTACCAGCAAGACTTGTATGAGAAGATGATGTTAATTCCATGAGAAGAAGAAATGCCATTGGATAAGCATCAATACTTGAAAACAATTGATTAATTGCAAGAAAAATAAACCTGAAAAAATTAAAATTTTAACGTTTATTCTATGAACAAGATATTATATTCTTTTAGCTTGTGAGAAAAGGCTTGCAACTGTTTTAGCACTGGTTGAACTAAAGCTAGACCTATGATAGATCAAGACTTTTTTTTTTTGGATGTGAGTGATACTATCAGGAAGACCGACACCTACCTCTACCTCACTCTAATGCTCTTAACTTATTGCTATGAAGATACAGCACTTTGATGGTATTTTTTTAAATAAATGCCATGATAAAAGGTAAAATGATTTTTGAATTTTGTCTTAACACTTTGCATACAGGTAGGTCTTAACGAGAATAGTTTTTTTTGGTGAAAGTTTTAGAACTTCTGACTTGCTTCTGTTCTAAAATAAGAATATCAAATTTGATGGTTTAAATGTGCAATATCAGAGACATGCTATTACTTGACTTATACCTAAGATAGAAGCAGCAATGAGACATCAAATATTAATTAAAAACTATTTTCATTAAGACTTGTCTCTTTGTAAAGTTTCAGATCGGAATTCAAAAATCGTTTTTTTTTTCACCTCACGACTGTTATTTTTAGAACAATTCCATAAAATTGTAGTATTTCCGTAGCAGTAAGTTAAGAATAAGAATTCTTGTCATGGTATTTATAGTTCATTTAGGTCTACATAATCTACATAGAATTAATTCAAAAGCGATTGAATAGTTGAACAATTTCTCTCGTAACTGCTAAGCTTTTTAAGTTACTGACTATGCTAAAACTAATTCTTTTTACTAAATAAAAACTACTGAATGTATAGTAAAAATCATATCAAGCAATTAAATACAAGCATTAAAAATTATTTCAATACTTCGTTTTCTTTTATTTATTTAGTCGACGACTAGGCCTTTCTTGAATAATCTATCTTGCATCATGGTTTGATTAATATGATTTATAAAATAATTCGATTTAAAACCATAGAATATTGAACAATAACTTTTAGTTCTGATTAGAACAACTTTTGATCTTATAATCTTGGACCCAATCTCGAGACTGAATTTTATACATCTCTAATCGAGACTATGTGCATCATTTAGAATCTAACATGTTAAGAATACTACGAAATATTGCATTTTTACAATATTTGTTGATATGGTCCCGTAATCACTCTTATGAATACGAAGAAAACTGGTTTTTGAATTTCAATTTGAATATTTTCTAAAAAACTAGTTTTAATAAGACTAATTAAATATTGAAAGTTTTAGATCTTTTCTAAGCAAATATGTGACTATAATGAAAAACTGTTTCTTTATTTTGCTCATACACATTGACAATTATGATATTCTTATTTTAGAAAACGAGCAAATCAAAGCAATCTTGAAACTGTCATAATAAACTATTCATGTTAAAATTAGTCTCTATGAAAAGTTTCATGGTAATATTTAAAAATTAGTTTTTCTAATTATATCTGAGAAAGATCATAGGATCATTTTGAAAAATATCATATAAGTACGATATCTTTTTGATTTGTAACGAAAGCCATTTTTAATTGAATATTTTTATTTTAGCGATTTTTCATTAATGATATTGACTTGATCATACTATTTGGATATTAAATGGCGTGTTAAATAAAAACAACAAATACATTTTAAAATACACCCACACGTATTCTTTCGATCCTATTGATAGTGGCACGAGCAAGACAGTAATACTAGAGGAAGTTTTATTTTTCGGATTTTTCTTCCTTCGTTGTACTATTGATATAGAGTGGGAGAAGAAGACGTATATATAGGCGTTTTAAAATGTACTTGTTATTATCATCTAACATGTCATTTTATACCTAAATAGCCTGATGAAGTCAATATCGTTGACAAAATGTCATTAAAATTGCAAATAATAGGAAGAGAAAATAGAAATATTCAAGTACGATATCATGACAACAATAAACAAAATATCCGAACTATTTGTCAAGGCATGTCTAAATAATTAGGATCAACATCGCACATATAATTTCAACGTGCATTCTTGAAATACAAATCTTTGTTTTTCTATAACAATAAAATATTTTGTATGTAGTTTGGCTTTATGAAAATAGATTAAGAAAATTTCTTTCTGATTCAATATCAAATCTTTCAAAATTCTTAATTTCCTGTTGAATATTATAGAACTTTCTTTTGATTATATAATACATATTTCTAAAATTTGAATAATCTCAAGGTCACAATTTAAAACTATGAATCCTAAAGGTACTTCACAACAATAATAATGTCGTATTGGATTAGTATTCAAGGACTTATCTTTTTTCAAGGAAAAAAAATATCACGTCAAAAATAAATATCAATTGGTAAAAATATTCTAATTGCATATTTGTTTTTTTTTTTAAATTATTCTAATTTACTTGATATCTATGCTCATCGGAATAGTTTGAATAAGTACTTGAGTAAAACATGGAATCGTAAATAACATAACAGTTAATATTCGAATCATTTTTCTTCGTCCAACTTTATCACCAATATATCCAGTAAGTAAAACAACAAATCTATATTTTAGATTAAATTATTATTTAATATAAAGTTGTAGATTTTTTTTTTCTCTCACCCTCCAACATGATACATTGTTGAAAGCCAAGTTTTTTTCATTGCATTTTGACAAATAAAATTTCCTTCTTCAGTAAATGTTCGACCAAATATACTTCGATCATAAACAA